TGATCACAATGGAGCCTCGCTTGTCCGTCTTGGCTGAGCGTTTCTTCGGACATTTAAAGGGGCCGTTTCAGCTCCTGCCCACATGCGAGAAGCTGTGCCTGTTTTGGTAGAGCAGACCAGTGAAAGGGTGAGTTTGCTCACGTAGCGAGGTTATCCCAGCGCCGTCCGTAGGCGGCCCAGGTGCACAACTCTCGGAGGATGGGCAGGAGACTGAGGAGAATCAGGAGGAGGAGGAAGAGGAGGAGGGGGATGAGGAGGAGGAGGAGGAGGAGGAGGAGGAGGAGGAGGAGGGAGGAGGTAGAGGAGGAGAATGAGGAGGAGGAGGAGGAGGAGGAGGAGGAGGAGGAGGAGGAGAAGGGGGAGGAGCAGGAGGAGGAGGAGGAGGAGGAGGAGGAGGAGGAGGAGGAGGAGGAGGAGGAGGAGGAGGAGGAGGAGGAGGAGGAGGAGGAGGAGGAGGAGGAGGGGAGGAGGAGAGGAGGAGGAGGAGGAGGAAGAGGAGGAGGAGGAGGAGGAGGAGGAGGGAAGAAGAGGAGGAGGAGGAGGAGGAGGAGGAGGAGGAGAGGGAGGTAGAGGAGGAGGAGGAGGAGGAGGAGGAGGAGGAGGAGGAGGAGTTGGAGGAGGAGGAGGAGGAGCAGGAGGAGGAGGAGGAGGAGGAGGAGGAGGAGATTTGCTCCGATTCGCCGCTCGAGCCTGTGATTGCCGTGCCGAGCTCAGCCCGTCACCGCCCGCAGGAGGGGCGGGTGCGCAACCTGGTGGCGATACACCGCGTGGGGCAGCTGGAGAGTTCGCAGGCCGTTGGCCGCTGGACCTGTCGAGATCGCACGCGGGTGCAGAGATGAGGGATGGCAGGCGAGGGATGATGACGATGCTGCTGATGATGATGATGATGATGATGATGATGATGATGATGATGATGATGACGACGATGACGATGACGATGCTGGTGATTGTGATGATGGTGATGGTGATGGTGGTGATGATGACGACACCGATGATGATGATGATGATGATGATGATGATGATGATGATGATGATGATGGTGGTGGTGGTGGTGATGATAATGGTAAGGCATAGTGTTCTGATCATGATGGCGATGGGTCAGGGGTGCTTGGGATCAGACGACAATGACGACAATCATGGTGTTGATGATGATGTTGATGATGAGTGTTCTGATCAGGATGATGGTGATGGCGATGCTGATCGTAATGATGCAGGTGACGGTGATGGTGTCGGTGGTGATGACGATGGCGGGGGTGTTGGTGATCAGGTTGCTGTCGGTGATGATGATGATGATGATGATGATGATGATGATGATGATGATGATGACGATGACGATGATGATAATGATGATGTTGTTCTTGACGATGCTGGTATCATTGATGATGGTTCTGATGATGGTGGGGGTGATTATGCTCACGATGATGATGATGATGATGATGATGATGATGATGATGATGATGATGAGGATGAGGATGAGGATGAGGATGAGGATGAGGATGAGGATGAGGATGAGGATGAGGATGAGGATGAGGATGAGGATGCTGCTGATGCTGATGCTGATGCTGATGCTGCTGCTGATGATGATGCTGATGATGCTGATGATGCTGATGATGATGGCGGTGGTGGTGGTGTTGGCGGTGATGGTAGTGATGATGATGGGATTAGTGATGATGATGGTGGTGGTGGTGTTGGTGGTGGTGATGATGATCCTGTTGATGATGGATAATGGTGGGCGGCGGTGGTGGTGGAGGATGGGGTGGAGGAAAAAGAAGACGAGCAAGAGGGCGATGTGAAGGGAAGCTGCGCGAGCTGGGTGCGCGGCCGCCGCGCTCCCGCCGCGCTGGACGTCCGCGATCTCGTGCCGTCGTCGCGCACGCCGGCCGCACAGCGCGCGCGCGTCCAGCCGTTGGCTGATCGCCGCGGCCGGATGACAAGGCGCACAGGGAGCACGAGGGTGATGATGAAGCTGGTGATGATGATAGTGTTGAAGGAAACGGCGCGCAGGAGGAGCACGAGGGTGATGATGATGGTGGTGGTGATGATAGTGGTGACGATGCAGATGATGGTGGTGGTGATGGTGATTGAGGAGGAGGATGAGAAGGAGGAAGAAGATGAGGACGAGGATGACGATGAAGAAGATAACGATCATGATGATGAGGAGGAGGATGAGGAGGAGGAGGATGGTGGTGGTAATTATGATAATAATGCCGACGATGACGATGAAGATGATGCTCATGTTGATGATGGTATTGCTGATGATGATGTTGATAATGATGGTAATGATGATGCTGCTGATGATGCTGATCATGAGGATGATGCTGATGATGACACGATGCGATACCAGTGATGATGATGACGATGGTGATGATGGTGATGATGATGATGATGATGGTAAGGAGGAGGAGGAGGAGGAGGAGGAGGAGGAGGAGGGAGAAGACTGGTGAAAACCCAAGACCATCAACGATATTGGAGTACACCCTCCCTCCAAGCTCCCTTCTCACATGCCCCTACAAGGTATCATTTCCACTGAGGGAAGTGCCCCGTTGGGGGACAGCCGCGCGAAAATCTTCTAGCGTGCCAAGACACCATTCTCAGGACTCAGACGCCGCGAGTCAACCTGAATGTTGCGTCTTGACAATCCAGAACCGTGCCAGAACACTACTCCTGGGATTCCCTTACCGCGAGTCAGCGTGACTGTTGTGCCCTGACAATTCTGAATCGTTCCAAAACACCGTTGCTGGTACGTTAGCCATGAGAACCAGCAAAACTCTTGCAATTTGTGGAAACGAATGTGCGCGGTGCGCGGCGCTAACTCGGGAGCCACATTTTGAAAACGACCCCCCTGAATCCGTTAAACCCTTGCAAAGTTGAAAACGATTACGCGCTGCGCCAAGGATTTGAAACGAATGTGCGCCGTGTTAAGGCGAGAGCCACATGTTGAAAACCACCCGCCTTCAAGTCGCTGAACTCTTGCAAGTTGTTTAAACGAATCTGCGCGGCGCCAAGGGGAGAGCCACATTTTGGAAGCGACCCGCCCTCCATCTGCGAAACTGATGCCAGTTTTAAGCTTGAGGTTCATGAATGGTAAGGAAGTCTCAGGCGAAACGCCTGGCACGCCCTTCCGACCTGCCTCGGTGTGCGGCAGGGAGGAGTCATTCACGAGGAAGACGAATGGAGGAGGAATTGGAGCAGGGGGCTGGAGGAAACGGTGATCTTGTATCCCCGTGACTCACCACAGGGAGGAAATCAGTAGCAGCTTCAGCAGCAAGGGGAGGATGGGCAGGACAAGCTGAATGAGGAGGGGGAGGAGTAGGAGGAGGATCTTGTGGCACCTCAGCTTTCAACACGATGATCCAGAGGAGGATGAGGAGGAGGAGGAGGAGGAGGAGAAGGAAGAGGAGTGGGAATAGGACAGTGAAGGAAGGAAGTAAGGAACAGGAGGACGATGAGGAGCAATATGTGGAGCGCCAAGACAAGGGAGGAGGCGGACGGAGAGAAGCAGGAGCAGGCATTAGCAGGTGGGGGTGCGAGGGTCCGGATCTTGTTGTCGCAGGTCTACGTCGCTTGGGTGAAGGTGTTCTGCGAGGGGCAGGCGCTCGAGAGCCAGCAGAAGGGCTTCAAGACGCTGCCCCCTCGGGCCCCTGTGCCTAGCCGGTTTCTCGAGTGGAGATGGACAGCGAGGAGGAGGAGGAGGAGGAGGAGGAGCAGGAGCAGGAGCAGGAGCAGGAGGAGGAGGAGGAGGAGGAGGAGGAGGAGGAGGAGGAGGAGGAGGAGGAGGAGAGGGCGAAGGAGGAGGAGGAGGACAAGGAGGACGAGGAGGAGGAGGACGAGGAGGAAGAGATGGTCCTCGCCATGCACCGGGCGACCGCGGCGCAGCTCCGCGCGGCAGCTGCGGTCCGCCCTGGGGGTGGATCGGGTTGCATGCGCGGCGGGCCTGCGCGCCGCGCTGGCTGGCCTGGCCGGCTCCGTGGCCCGGGGCGCGCTGCCTCTGCTCGCCACCTTAGTCGTGTGCTCGGCGAGATTCCGTGTGGTCGGGCGTGTGGGCCGGCTTGCCGAGTCTCTTCCAGGCGGTCTGGCGTCCCTGCGCTCGCGACTCGGTCGCTCCTGGGCCGCAGCCCGCTGACGAAGACCTTCACGGTCAGAGTTTGTGCCCCCGCTCAGCTCCTCCTCGGCGCGGCCGCACTGCCCCTCGTTTTCCCGCCTTGATGCGCCGCCCAGCGGCCCTGAGCAGCTCGACCGACCCGCGCGCTGTTAGGTCTGCGGCAAACAGGTGTGGGTGTGAGTGACAGATCGTGTCGCCAACAGGGGGATGATGATGAGGAGGAGGAGGACCAGTGCAAACCCAAGACTCACCGACGATGTTTGAATAGACCCTCCCTCCAAGCTCCCTCATAGGCGTTTAAAAGGGTTCATTCCCACTGAGGGAAGTTTCGAAGATCCTGAAGCGTGCCAAAACACCATGATCGAGACTCCAACGCCACGAATCAACCTTGCTGTTGCGTCAAGACTCTTGGGCTCCAACACCGCGAGTCTACGTAACTGCTGCGATCTGGCAATCCTGCAGCGGTCCGAGACACGATTTCTGGTACGCTCACAACGGGAGCCCGTGAAATGCTTGCCAGTGTTTAAGACGATTGCGCGCGGCGCTGAGGCGAGAGCCACAGCTTGACAAGGAACAGCCCGAAGCGTGTGAAGCTGCTGCAATTGTTTAAGAGCGCGGCGCCGGGGCGAGAGCCACATTTTGAAACGACCCGCCCTCAATCAGTGAAGCGCTTGCGGAATTGTACAGACGAGTGTGCGCGGCGCGAAGGCGAGAGCGGCATTTTGGAAGCGACTCGCCCCCAATGTGCGAAATTTCGGGACCTGTTGTCATGTTTAACTCTTGACGATCATGAGTGGTAAGGAAGTCTCGGTCGAAACGCCCGGCCCGCCCTTCCGACGGTTCTCGGGGTGCGACATGGAGGAGTATCTTATCATGAGAGAGAATGGAGGAGGAGTAGGAAGTAAGAAGATGAGGATGGGGAGCGGAGTAATGACATAGCGAATATATAACGTTTGATGATGTCGCAATGCACCCTCTGGTCCCGAGTCCCCCCTCCACAGTCAGTGGGAGTACTCTATTTCACCGGGGTGTGCGCCCGCCAGACAAGCTAGGGCCACACGGGCCTTCCGTGGGTCTCAAGGGTAGTTCCTTAGTGGAGGTTTGAATACTTGGGCGAGCGTGAAGACACCTCACGCACGCGCTTAACGTATTTGCCAGACCATTCAAGGTCCATCTGTGTACTTAGCTCGTGGGCGCCGAATATGTATAGGAATATGGAACATGAGCGGGCATTTTTGGATGAATAAGTGTTGACACAGTGGAGATCCATGCCAAGAAACACCCTGCTTGCCTCCAGGATGTCCTGATTTTATGGTTTTGCGATGGAGAGCGCGACATTCCCACACCAAACATCAAAGGACGTCCTGGGGTCTCAGGTGTGAGTTTCTTTTAGAAGGTTTCTTGTGGTCGGGCCCCTATTGTATCGCGCCCTCTATGTCCAACGGCATCATGCTCATCCCGCCACCGTGGTCGTGGTCCAACTTTCTGGCTCAACTCACGGTGTCCATCGTTGCGCGGGCGAGCGAGCAGGCGCGACCCCTTGCGCGTCGCGTCGCCGCAGCTGCTCGAGAAGCCGTGTGTCCGAATGCCTCAGCTCCTTGCCCTCGTCGTTTGCACTTTGCGGCTCGGCCTCCCGTGCCGCCTGTGCGGCTCGGCCTCGGCCCCGCGCGCGTCACCAGCCTGCTGGCCGGCGCCCCCGCCGGCGCCCCAGGCCCGGGCACTGCGCGCGAGGGGCCGGTGCGGCGCCAGCCTCCCCGGCCACGGCGGGCCTCGGCCACGCAGAGAGGATCCGAGGTCTGTGCATGGGAGGCTTTTGGGCGGCGACACTGGAATCAGCTTACCCTGCCCGTGGACAGCGTGGGGACGGCATCTGGCCCATCCTCCTGCTCCTCCTGGCCCCTCCTGTTCCCCCTCCCCCTCCTCGTTCTCCTAGCCCCCACGAATCCAGTCCAAGTCTGGTCCAAATCCGGTCCAACTTTGTTCCAAGTCCGGTCCAAATCAGGCCCAAATTGGACGGTGCCGGGGGCCACGCAGGCTCCCATGGAACGGACACCAAAAGAGGATTCCCACCTGGACTTTTGAGGAGCGGCCCCCCAAAAGTTGGAGCTCCTTCGAAGCCCAAGGCGATGCCTGACTCGCACCGAGCGCCTTATACGACTCGCAGAGTGCCTACTCGCAAACGTCCGAAACACACACACACACACACACACACACACACACACGTCTGCTGCGCTGCAAATGATCGCAGATCCTCCGCGGGGGATCCAGGTCATTTGCGAGTGTATATATATGTGTGTGTTTATATATTGCGAGTGAGTAGTGGAACGCGCTCGTCTAAACTCAGTGCCCTGGCTGTACGAGTAGCCTCGGGCGCACCCGGGGGTCCTGCAGCCGGCGCTCCGCGCGCTGGCCGGCGTGCGCCTGGGGTTGCGCGTGGAAGGCTGGGTGTTGGCCCAAGGTGTCAGCCTTCCCCCGGATCGCATGTGTTGCCCACTTTATACGCACGCTTCGGCAGCGGCTTTCGGACAAGCTTTCCTGCCCCGCCCATGGACCGCCAGACGCTGCTCGCCGTGTCATCCGCGGCTTGACCCTCAAGTTGTTCATGGCGCAGTCCAGCGTGCCGTGTCCCCGGTGTCGTGGGTATCCTCGTCTAACGGAACGGAACGGTCGCTGAAAACGAGCTGCGCGTGCGCGCGGCTACGTGCCCTCACGGGCTCAGCGGAAATTGGTCAGCCCATCTTGTGAGAGGGCGCCCGCGGGCTCTCCGCCCGTCAGGCAGGCCAGCGTTCGATTTGTCATGGCAGGTCAACGTTTGGAAGGGATGGGGGAGAGGAGAGGAGAATTGAGGAAGGGGGGATGGAAAGGTGGAGCGGAGAATAGGAGAGGGGAGGGGGGAGGTGAAAGTGACGGGGAAGGCGAACTTGACGGGGAAGGGGAGATAGCGAGGACGAGGAGTAGGATTAAGGCGGGTATGCCCCTCTACAGCAGGAATGCTGAAGAATAGTAACATTGAATGTTGACGATGTTTCGTGCTCTGTTGACTATTTTTGATGCTATGTTGACTGTGTTTCCGTCTTCCAGAATCCGCCTGAAGGAGGACATGCCCGACCTAACAGTAGGAGGAGGAGGTGCACAGGGGATAGGAAAGGGGCGGAGACGGAAGGGGAAGGCTTACCAGACGGGCCAACCGAGGTCCTCACCATATGGGACAAGCCTGACCACGAGATCCTGGGAGTGGACAAGATGGCCACGTCCAAGGCATCTTCTGCTCCTCCTCCCCTGCACCTCATCCTCATCCTGCTCCTGCTCCTCCTGCTCGTCCTGGTCCTCCTCCTCCTCCTGCTCCTCCTCCCTCAGCTGGTCCTCGTCGTCCTCCTGCTCCTTCTGCTTCAGGAGATCATCAAATCATGGCGATCGCTGTCCCTGCAGTTCCACCCGGACAAAGAGACCGACCCAGAGAAGAAGGAGGACGCGGAGGACGCCGGAGGGCGTTGAAAGCCGCGGGGAGGGGGCGAGAGGGGGTGGCAGGCGAGAGGGAGGGGAGGCCTCCATCCTCCGTTCGTCTCCCTGTCCCCGCCTCGGTCATCGGCATCCCTCTCCCCTTCTCCTCTCTCCTCCCTTCTCCCTCTGCTTTATCCTCTCCCTCTCCCCTTGCCCCTGTCCTGCTCCCTCCTCCAGGTCGCCGCCTGTCCTTGGTCCTCCCCTCTCCCCGTTCCCTTTTTCTCTCCCCTTCGCGCGAGCCAGCACAGGCCCTCGGGAGAGGAGCGTTGGGGCTCCTCTCGGGCTCGGGGTGCGACTCTGCTGGTCCCTGTTGGCTTGTGCCGTCGCGGTTGATTTGAAGTGCCCAATCCAAGCCCCTTTCCCTCCCTTTTGCTCCCTCTCCTCCCTCCCATCTCCTCCTCACAGGGCAAGGAGGCGGAGGAGGAGGTGGAGGGTGAGGCGGATGAGGCCCTTTCAGGGAGCTCCGCCGAAGGCCCCAGTGGCTGCGCCCGCATGCCACCACCCTTCTCACATTGGCACACCTCTCACACGCTTCGTTGCCCCATGTGGAGCTCCACCGAAGGTCACGCCCGCATGCCGCCACCTCCTTCAATCTGGCACACCCCTCACACGCTTCGTGGCCTGATGGGGAGCTCCACCCAAGGTCCCAGTGGCTGCGCCCGCATGTTGTCACCTCCCCTCATTTTGGCGCACCCCTCACACGCTTCGTGGCCCCATAGGGAGCTCCACCGAAGGCCCCAGTGGCTGCGTCCGCATGCCGCCACCTCCTTCACTTTGGCACACCCCATTCCGTCTTTGGCACACCCCGTTCCGTCTGACCTCCGCGCCCCCATGCGGGCTGCCCCAGCGGCAGCGCCCGCATGGCGGCCCCACCCCATTTCGGCGTTCTCTTCACGCATTTCGCGGCTCCGTCGGCAGCTCCACCGATGGCGGTTCTCACACTTGGGGGGGTCCTTCGCCAGGCTAGTTTGAGTGGGGGCTCTGATTTTCATGTCGGTTGATTTTCTTGTTTTTGTGTGCTTTCGGCGCCCCGCCCCCCCGCGCCGCCTCCCTTCCACCTGCAGGGAGACGCCCCAGCTTGGCGCGGAGTGGCAGCAACCAGCAAAACAGGAAAACCAACCCAAACACAAGGAAACTCATGAAAAGCATAGCCATCCCCGCCAACAAATCAACTACATCAAAGCCCCGACTGGTTTTTGGCAGAAGAGCCGAAGAAATCCCGAGGCTCTTCAAAGTTACCCGTCCGAAAACCAATCGGAACGTCGATTTCGTTGATTGTTTTGCCTGGGGGCTCTGACTTTCATGCTTTTCCTTGTGCGTTGGCTGATGTTATTGTTTTTTTGCGCGCCCTCTCCCAACCAGCGCCGCCCCCCCCAGGGAGACGCCACAGCTTGGCGCGGGGTGGCAGAAACCAATAAAAACCAGACATTCAACCACAACAAATGGAAACTTAGGATAGTCAGCGCCACCCCAACAAAAACTAACGAAACTGGAGCCCCGCTTGGCTCTTGGCAGACCAACATACATCTAATGTTAATCACCGCGCCACGTCCGAAAACACCAGTCGGGGCCTTTAGTTCGTTGTATTTCGTTTTGCTTGGGCGCCATGATTTTCATGTCGTCCTTGATGTTTGGACACACTTTCCTTCTTTTGTTGATTTTGGACGCCCTTTCCCCCCAGCCGCGCCGGTTCCAGGTGCCAAGGGGGCCTGGTGCCTTTTGTGTGTTCCTTAAAGGGAAGCCGGTGCGAAATTATCCCTCGCCTCCCCCTCTTGAAAGCCTCCGCCTCTGAAAAAGGGATCTTTTGAAATCCTCTACACACGGATTTCGATTGAAAGCTGATACAAAAGGATTCCTATTGAAAGCCTCTACATAAGGATACCGATTGAAAGTTGATACAGAAGGATTCCGAATGAAAGTCTCTACAAAACAATTTCCATTGAAAGCATCTACAAAAGGATTCCGATTGAAAGCCTCTACAAAAGGATTCCTAGTGAAATCTTTTACAGAAGGATTATTATTGAAAGCCTGTGCAAGGATTCCCATTGAAAACCTCTACACAAGGATTCGTATTGAAAGCCTCTACAAAAGGATTCCTTTTGGAAGCCAATGCAAAAGGATGCAAATTGAAAGCCTTCGTAGGAAAGGATTCCTATCGAAATCCCTTACAACAGGATTCTTGTCGAAGGATTCTCATCGTAAGCTTATACAAAAGGATCTTTATTGAAAGTTTATACACAAGGATTCCCATGGAAAGCCTTTACACAAGGGTTCCTATTGAAAGCCTCTACAAAAGGATTCCTGTTGAAAGCGTTACAAAAGGATTGCGACGGAAAGCCGCTACAACAGGATTCGCATTGAAAGCCGCTACACACGGATTCCGATTGAAAGCTTTTACACAAGGGTCCTTATTGAATGCCAATACAAAAGGATTTGTATTGAAAGCCCTTACAAAAAGGACTCCGACTGAAAGCATCTACAAAAGGTTGCTTATTGAAAGCCAATGCAAAAGGATTACTCTTGAAAGCCAATGCAACAGGATTCCTATTGAACGCCTTTACAAACGGATTCTTATTGAACGCCGCTGGACAAGGATTCCTATTGAACGCCTTTGCAGAATGTACAACATGATTCCGAATGAAAGTACAAAAGGATTCCCACTGAAATCCAGCTACAAAAGGATGCCGATTCAAAGCCAATACACAAGGATTCATTGTGAAAGCCACTACAAAAGGGTTCCTATTGAACGCCCTTACAAAAGGATTCCCAGTGAAATCCTTTACATGAGGATTCCTATTAAAAGTTTGTACCAAAGGATTCCTACTGAACGCCTCCACAAAAGGATTACAATCGAAAGCCAGTGCAGAAGGATTCCTATTGCAAGCCTTTACAAAAGGATCCCGATTGAAAGCTGATACAAAAGGATTCCCATGGAAAGCCTCTACAAAAGGTTGCCTAGTGAAAGCCTCTACAAAAGGATTACTATTGAAAGCGTTTGCAAACGATTGCTACTGAAAGCCATTACATACGGATTCGGATTGAATGCCTTTCACAAATGGATTCCCACGGAATGCCAATACAAAAGCATGTTTTATTGAAAGCAAATGCAAAAGGATTCCCATTGAAAGCATCTACAAAAAGGATGTTTATTCAAAGCCAATGCGCAAGGATTCAGTTGGAAAACCAATACAAAAGGATTAGTATTGAGAGCTTTTACACAAGGATTCGCAGTGAAAACATCCACACAAGGATTCCTACTGAAAGCCTCTACAACCGTCTCCTCCTTCTCCTCCTCCTCCTCCCCTTCCTCCTCCCCCTGCTAGCGGAATGTCGTAACTCTTAGGAACACCATGAGAAACACCAAACAACAAAGAACTTGAAGTGTTGGAGGCGGAAATATTAGAACAACCATTGGAAAGCACAACAAACAACAAAAAAACATATCGCATGGAAATCCCGTCCGCCCCAAACGGGAGGTTACATGGGCGGGCGGCATTGCTTGGAAACCTGCGTTGTTGCTTTCTTTGGTTGGTTTCGCAAGTTCATCCTCCAGCACTGAAGTGTGTCTTGTGCTGTTGTTTTTCCCTGGGTTGTCCTAAAGTTATGGCGTTCCGCTGGAAGGGGGGGAGGAGGAGGATGAGGAGGAGGAGGAGGAGGAGGAGGAGGAGGAGGTGGTCCCTTCGGACGGGTGTTCCCTTGGATATGCAGGTTTTTTGTTTGGGGGGGTCCCCTGGTGATTTCCAAAGTTTCAGCCTCCAGCACTTCAGTTCCTTCGTTTTTGTTTGTTTGGTTGTGTTTCCCCACGTTGTTCCTAAAGTTACGGCTTCCCCATTGGAAGGGGGGAGGAGGGGGAGAAGGAGGAGGAGGAGGAGGGGAGGGGGAACGGGGGGTGCGGGGGGGGGGGGGTGAGGACGAGCAAGAGAAGAATGCTGAAGAGGATGAGAGGATGATAGGGTGAAGGGAGAGGAGGAGAAGGAGGAGGAGAAGGAGGAGGACGAGGAGGAGGAGGAGGAGGAAAGTTTCGCGCAGGAGGAAGAGGAGGAATGTTTCGCGAAAAGAACTTAAAATCGCGGGTGGCCGAAAACGACTGAAACCAAACCACCAGGCCCCCTTGGCACCTGAAGCCGCGCTGCCTCCATCTCCCCCCCATGGGCTGCAACCGACAAAAACAATCAATCCTCTGCTGCAGAAGCATGTGGAAGGCACCGACGAGCACGAGCGAGGGGGAACCTTTGTGTTTCAAATCAACAGCAACAGAAACAGCTTCAGGTGGATCTTGGTGGGGGCTCTTACAATACTTGTATATATGTACACGTATCCCTTTATGGGTGTCCGATCGAAGTAAGACCGATCACAAGCACTTCGGATTGTTCAGGAGCTACTTCGGTAGGATTGCAACCATTGGAAACGAGCTGATCGCAACATAAAGGATTCCTATACAAACCTTTCTGAAGAACACCAGAGTGCAACCGATCCAAGAGGTTCTGCTGAGCTTCTGCAGATCTCTCAGCGAGGCCTCTGAGAGGCCTCAGCGAGGTTTCTGAAAAAAGGCCGCAGAGAGGCCTTTCAGAGGCTTCTCTGAAGCCTTTTCAGAGACTTCTCTGAAGCCCTCCAAAAGCTTCTCTGAAGCTTTTTTTTTCAGAGGCTTCTCTGACGCCTGTCAGACGTTTCTCACGTTTCTCTGAAGCCTTGCAGAGGCTCGCGGCCAGGGAATAAGACCGATCACAACCACTTCGGACTGTTCAGGAGCTACGACGGTCCGAGAAGTCTTTTCATCCTGAGATATTTTTGTTGCAGGATGCTTTGCGCAGTTCCCACAGGTCGCAGAAGTCCCAAAGATTCCACCGTTCCCGCCTGCCCCGCAGGCCCCACAGGTCCCACAGGTTCTGTGGTCCCTGGGCCCATGGGCCGTCCAAAAGTGACTCAGTATGCAATGTTGGTCTACTGTACGTTCATGTGGCGTTGGCACGCCGGCGACGTTGGCGAAGGCGTTCAAGGCTGCATTCTGCGACGCGGAAGCACCGAGGGACACGGCGGGGCCACTGCACCCGACGAGATTCAACCTTGAACGATCGGGGCCGCGATCGATTCAAGGTTGAACGATCGACGCGGTGCCAAAAGCCTTGCGAGTGCCGACGCCGCGCAAACCCCAACGTAGGTGAATTCGTCCAGACCTGTGGGGGTCGACGTCCCGGAATAGTCATGATGTTGGGGGTCTGGGCCGCCGCCTTTTTCCGCCTTGCCATCCTGTCCTCAGTCCTCCTTTTCCTCCCCCTCCTCCTCCTCCTCCTGCTCCTGCTCCTCCTGCTCCTGCCCTTCCTCCGTCTCCTCCTTCCCTCCTCCTCCTCCTTCTCCTCCTCCTCCTCCTCCTCCTCCTCCCCCTCCTGAGATGCAATCCGTTTCACACAAGGCGTTTTTGATGAGTTTCGGTTTTAACTGTATTCGAATCACATAGAAGCCGTATACGGATCATGGCCACGTTCGAGCTCACATACATGTGTTTAGTTGATATCATGATCGGCCGTGGGTGATCGGACCGATCGCAACCGCTTTTTTTCAGATTTCCATTGGGCGGCTTAAGGGAGCTCATTGCACCCAGAAGCGCTCTTATGACCTCTTCCTGAATCGAAACGTTATTGAAACGACCCAACAGCATCGCAACCACTTCGGACGGATCGCAACTGGTTGCGATCGGTCCGAAGTGGTTGACGATCGGTCCGAAGTGGTTGCGATAGGTCGTGCTCGCGCGTCCGATATCCCTCCCTCCCTCCATCCGTCCCATCCCCTCCTCCTCCTCCTCCTCCTCCTCCTCCTCCTCCTCCTCCTCCTCCTCCTCGGGCGCGGGGCAGCCGCCCTCCCCTCTCCCCCCTGCCCCGCCGAAGCCCCGAGGAGATGATGAAGCGGCTGAACATCGCCAAGCAGAACATGCTGCGCTCCTGCCCCACCAGCCCCGACGGCCCCGAGACCCCCACGCCGGACGCGGGCCCGCCCTCTCCTTTCCCAGGCCTCGCAGGGGCAGCGATGGGGGGGGGGGGATCGGCACCGGGCGCGACGCATCGCCCCCCATATCGCCCCAATGGATCGCCGACAGGGGCCCCGACGGCCCCGGCCTGCCCAGGAGGCTGCGGATGCACCGTCGGGGGCCCGTCGCCGACCTGTCGGCGACGCATCGCCGGTGTCAGGCCGGTGCGCCCCTGCCGGTGCCGGTGCCCCCCCCCCCTCACTGTGGTCGCCCCCCGAGGCTCTCCTGGGCAGACGAACGGCTTCGGCCAGGACTACGACGACCCGTTCGGCGGCCCAGGCCCGGACCCCCTGCTGCTCCTCCTCCTGCTCCTCCTGCCCCTCCTCCTCCTCCTCCTCCTGCTCCTCCTCCTGCTGCTCTTCCTCCTGCTCCTCCTCCTTCTCCTCCTCCTCCTCCTCCTCCTCCTGCTCCTCCTCCTCCTCCTGCTCCTCCTCCTCCTGCTGCTCCACCTCCTCCTCCTCCTCCTCCTCCTCCTCCTCCACCTCCTCCTCCTCCTCCTCCTCCTCCTCCTCCTTCTCCTCCTCCTCCTCCTCCTCCTCCTCTCACCGAGCTTCCTCTCTGGCGGCGCCCGGCGGAGGGGGCGCTCCCTGCCTGCTGCTTCGCGCAGCCGCGCGCGCGCTCGCCGGGGGGAAGGGGGATCGGCGGCTGGAGGCCACGAGGAGCGGAAGGGCCCGAGCATCGAGCAAGAGGCCACCAGTCTCGGAGGTGGACAGACCCAGACATCTGCTGTCTCGAAAAAATCGAGACAGAGTTGTTTCCTCGTTTTCGGCATCTCGGGGCCCTTACCAGGCCTCGGGACCGTCAAAAAACGACTCGGGATGAAAAACCCGTCTTGGGGAAGTGGTCGAGAGGGCGGGGGCCCGCGTCTCGAACAAATTGGCACGTTCGATGTCTGGGGACCTCGTACCCTGACACGTCTAGTAGCGAACTGGCCCTTTTCGGTTCGTGAGAGGGCGTCGCGGCCGTCATTCTCGCGGTCCGTCGGTCGCGGTCCTGGACCGTTTTCACGAAAGGGTGGTTTACCAAAGTCAGGAGGGGAAAAAACACACAGACACAATTTATCGTCGACTCCCAGGAAAATATGGCAAAATATGGGAAGTGGCGGGAAGACAAAAATCCAGAAATTTTGAGGAAATATGGGGAATCCTGTTATTTGTGTGTATTTATTTGTGTGTCCTTGGGCCCCTTCACAAAGGGAGGTGTGTCCACCGCCGACTGTCGGGGCCCAAGGGACGGGGGTCGGTACAAACGGCGGTGGGCCAGAACGCCGGATCTTGCAGGATCCTGCTGAGCCAGGGGTGCAATGCCGCGGGCTGTGTGCAGGAGATCCTGAAGGATCGTCAGGAGCGAAAAAGGACGTACACGTACATGACTCCACGCTGGTGTCGAGAGCACGCACTGCGCGAATGTTCGTATGACGCGGCCAGTCTCGCAGATCGAGGGGCCCGCTTTCATGTACATGGTTTGACGCGTGCGTCCTTTTTGTAGGTTCCCTAGATGTTGCAGGATCCTGCAAAGCCTTGCTGACCGATCAGGAGGGCCACGAGGACGGGGAGGGTCACGAGGATCGGGAGGGCCACGAGGCTGGGGAGGGTCACGAGGCTGGGGAGGGTCACGAGGCTTGGGAGGGTCACGAGGCTGGGGAGGGTCACGAGGATCGGAAGGGTCACGAGGATCGGGAGGGTCAGGAGGATCGGGAAGATCACGGGGATCCTGGGGATCACGAGCATCGGGGAGGTCGAGCATCAGGGAGGGCAACGAGCATCGGGGGGTTCACGCGGATGATGGGAGGGATCACGAGGAGAACGGGATGAACCATTAGGATGGCATTGGATGAGGGAGGATGGGGACGGAGGGGCGGGGGATGATCAGAAGATCGGCGAGGATCAGAGCGTCGGAGATGGCCGCGATCATCGGGAGGGCCACGAGTATCTGGGAGGACCAGGAGTAGGGCGCGGTATCGAGAAGATCACGAGGAGTTCCCTCTTCTCATCAGTTCCCTTTCTCTTCTCACTCTTCCTACGGTCGGGCCGCTGAAGAAGGAACCCTTTTCGTTGGGGAGGGGCTCAGTGTTCCTTAATTGGTGTACAGTTTGTCTTAGGCTGTCCTCAGATTTTCTATTGGGAATCGACGTTGATTGAATCGCTTCGCTGATTCCGCCGGCCCATATTGCGCGCCGTTGTCGACTGACCGAGTGGTCTTTCGCGGTGCGGAGCTGTAGGGGCGGCGGTTGTTTTTTATCAGGTTTTGACGGCCTCCCGGAGGCCTCTTGGGGCCGAGGGCTCGAAACGTCCGTTCGCGTTCCCCGTTTGGGTTTTCTCTTGGAGCTGTCTTGAGAGGCTCCTGGGCCGTCTTGGATGCCTCTGGCGCGGTCTTGGAGCTCTCGTGGACCGATCTGGGCTCCTCCTAGAGCGTTGTCGGGCTCCTCTTGAACCCTCTTGGGCTGTTTTGGGGCAATCTTGTAAGCATCTACGGCAATCTTGGAGCCCAGGGAAGCGGAAAAGGCGAGAACGGCAAATTCGTTGAAAAACGCATAGGTAATTATGTCTTCATGCTTATGGGGGCTCTCTCGGGAGGCTTCTTGGCGGCCGCTTGGGGAGTCTTGAACGCGTCGCGGGCCGTCTGGAAGCGTTTTTCCTATGGAGACTCTTTCGGGAGGCCTCTTGGTGGCCGATTAGCGACTCTTAAACGCGTCGACCGTTGGCACTTGCTTGCGTGCTCGGGGGGGGGGCATTTGGGGCCTCTTGGAGGCCTCCTGAGGGCCTGTTGGCAGCCTCTTGGGGCCCCTTTGGGGCCTCTTGGGGACTCCTGGGGGCCTGCTAGGGTCGAGGGCTCGAAGTGTTGTTTCGTGTTCCCACCTGGGACCTCTCTTGGGGCGTTCTTGGGGCCTTCTTGGGCCGTCTTGGAGGCCTATGGGGCTGTCTTGGAGCCCTCTTGAGGGCCTCTTGGGCTCTCTTGGGGCGGTGTAGGGGGCCTCTTGGGGCGTCTTGGGGTGTCGGGAAGCCGAAAAGGGGGAAACGCCAAAATCTCTCCGAAAACCTCGGGACAAGCAATGATTGTTGTCTGTTGGGGCCCTCTTGAGAGTGCTCGTGGAGGCCTCTTGGGCCGGATGGAGCCATCTTGGGCGTCTTGGAGCGATCTTGTGGCATCTCGGAGCTCTCTTGTATCATCTTGAGGGGCTCTTGGCGGCCTCTTGGCTTTTCTTGGGGCTCTGTGGACGGCCTCGAGGGCGTCGCCCAGGAGGAAAACCATCTCTGAGGGAGAGAACTGCTGCCCGCTTCGGCTACGCGCGAGGAGAAAGAGGACGGCATGTGGGAAGCAAGAGGAGAGGCCAGAGGAGGGAGCGGGGAAGAGAATGAGGGAGAGGGCAGAGAAGCAGGAGCAAGAGCGACAGAGGGTAGGGGCTAGAGACGCGGAGGAGCAGGAGGAGGAAGATGAGGAGGGGAGAGGATACTGACAATGACGAGGCCCGTAACCTGTGACGGCATGATTATGTTGATGTGAATGCTGATGATGATGCTGATGCGGATGATGATGACGGCAATGTTGGCGATGGTGGTGATGATAATAGTGGTGATGGTGATGGTGATGGTGATGGTGTTGATGGTGATATTGATTGGGCTGATGATGACGAAGCCGATGATGACGGTAATGGTGGTGCTGATGTTGATGGCGGTGGTGGTGATGATGATGATAATGGTGGCGTTGATGATGATGATGATGATGATGATGATGATGGTGATGATGATGATGATGATGATGATGATGATGATGATGATGCAGATGATGTTGATGATGATGACGACGATGACGATGACGATGACGATGACGATGACGATGATGATGATGATGATGATGATGATGATGATGATGATGACGATGATGATGATGATGATGATGATGATGATGGCGAGTGTAATGGTGATGGTCATAATGGTAGCGGTGACGATGCTGATGGTGATGTCGGTGGTGATGGTGATGCTGATGTAAGGAGGAGGAGGAGGAGGAGGAGGAGGAGGAGGAGGAGGAGGACGTGGGGCACGAGGAGAAAGGGGCGTCCCTGCCAACCTCCCTCACTCCCCCCCTCGCCCTCCACCACACTCCCGTCCCCCATCGCTCCTCTTTCCTCCGTGCCTCCTCCCCGTTCCTCTTGCCCCTCCTTCTTCGCCCCGCGCAGTTTCGGTGCCAGGCTTGCGTGGCTCACAAATGCGGACCCCGGCGCCTTGGGGGCGTGAGGTGATTTGTGCCACGCGGCCCTCCCGAGGTCTGGGTCAGGGGCGCGTCGCCTGCAGACTCGTGGAGGCTTTCACGTGTTTTGGCGAGACCTTCCCTCGCACGCCTCATCTTGGTGGGCGCCCGCTGCAATGATCAGCGGATGCCAGTGCTGCGGAAGACCGGAGGAAACCTGGAAGTCTGCATGCCAGCACCCTGAGCCAAAGACAATCTCAGTGAGCTCTGCTCCCAGACATCCGAAAGCGTGTTTTTCTTCGATCCGCGGCCTCGGCGTTCCAGGCCCCTTCCCGGGGCCAGTCTTCGCCTTGGATTCATCCTTGACGGCCCTAGGGCTCGGAAGCGGACGCCGGGGGTCGCAGAACCATGCGGTGACGGACCGCGCGGTGAACTCGAGATTTTCAGAGGCGCGGTCCGTCTTCGCACGGCCTTGGGACCTCGGAGGCCCGAGGCGCCCGAAATGTCCTCGGAGAACGACCTAGGTCCCAAAACCGTGCGCTGACCCCGAACCCCCACTGACTCACCACGCGGCGTGGTCACCACGCCGCTTGAAGCTCCGGGAGGCCAAAACGAGGGGATGGCCGCCTGGACCGAACAAAGACCGCCGGAGAGCTGAGGCTGTTGCCTTGTGCGGCCCTCCGCCAGAGCGAGGAGCGTGGGCGCGAAACTTTTCGGCGATTGCATCAAAGGCAATGGTTGCGCCGGGGTGTGGTTTGCGATCGGCGCCGTTGGGGCCTGGGGGGCCCGACGCTGTTCGCGTCGGGTCCCCTCGGGGCGTGGCGGAGAACTATATCGAGGCACTAGCCCGTCCCCTCAAGGGTGCCCCTCAGGGTGCCAGTTGCAAACCACACCCGCTGCAAACTTCACCTTTCGGAGACGCCGATCTTCGGAAAGCTAGGATGCACCCCCTGGGAGGCAAATGAATCAGCATTGGCCCTAGTACATGCGTGGTCGCAAACGGGCAGAGTCTGGCTTCATCCTGTTGAGTCACTCCCGCTGAATCCCGTTGACGATGTCCCAATCTTGGGCTGAATCTGGGCTGATCCGGCGTGATGGCCTCTTGATCGGGGTGGGTGGGCTCCGAGCAGATGGGGCCAAACGATCGCGCCGCATCGCCGATGCGTCGGCAATGCGGCTCGAAGTGGCGCCGACGGCGCCGCTGCGTCTCCGACGTTGCCGAGGCTTCGCCGCTGCATCGGTGATGCATTGGCGACGCGGCCGATCCAGGAAAGAAAGCGTCGGGGGGGGACTGGCCAGACCCCCTCGCGTCGTGCAAAAAATCACGACGGAGGTCTTTTTCAGTATTTTCGGCCTCTGGGGCCCTTACCAGGCTCCAGGACCGTCAAAAACGACCTGGGATGAGAAGCCAGTCCCTGGGAAGGGGTCCAGACCTTTTGGGGTCGACGTTGTGAAAAAATCACGGCGTCGGGGGCTTGGGTGGCGAGGCACATGTGGGACGCGTCAGACCACGGTGGGCGACGAAGCTCCACGTCCCCAACTCTGCAGCCAAGCCCAGGAGCTCCGCGAGCCGGAAAGCAGCGTGCCGCCACACAGGACCTCATTTGATCCTCCGACACCATTTGCCTCATTATGCCCTCTTCCTGACTCCGTCCATCCCGTAGGTGCAAGGTGGAGCCCCCCCCACCAGTTGGGAAGGCTGCAACCTTCATCAACCTCATTCATCAGATCCTCCGACCCCCCCCCGCGGATCTTCTGGCGCCATCTGGTCGGACCTGCGGATCCTCCGACCCCATTTGCTCGGACCCCCTTCCGGGAGGCCCCCAGCATCGGGCTACGCAATTTGTGCATGTATCCACTGCTCCCCTGGCCAGGCCCATCCTGAACCCATGAGCTGTGCATAGCCCTCCTGGCCAAAGCACGAGGGCGTGGCGCATACACCGCTGCCGAGATCAGGATCGCCCAGAACCCCGACGCCGTGATTTTTGTCACACCGTCGACCCCCAGAGCTCTGGATCCCTTCCCCAGGACCGGCTTTTCGTCCCGAATCGTTTCTTGACGGTCCCGGGGCCCGGGAAGTGCCCCAAGAGGCCGAAAGTAGAGAAACACCTCCCGTCGAGATTTTTTCACGAGTCGAGGGGGGCTGGGGGGCTTGGCCAGGGAGCAGCGGATATGTATAGATCTCGTCGCCCTGGCACTGGATCGTGCATTGTGCACTCTTCTGCCCACGCGTCCTTCCAGATGCTCGGGTCAGCCATGCCATGTTGTGATGCGATTGTTCTGCCTATGCGCTGTTTAGCGCCTGGCTGTCTGGCTGTCTGTCTGTCTGTCTGTCTGTCTGTCTGTCTGTCTGTCTGTCTGTCTGTCGCCCCAGCAGGAGGCAGCAGCGAGCGGGAGGAGCGCCGGCGGCGCGCCCTCGGGCGACGAGAGCAGCCCGCCTCCGCGGCGCGCCCTCGGGCGACGAGAGCAGCCCGCCTCCCCCGTGGGCCGCCGCCCCCGAAGAGGCGACGCCGGCTACTTCAGCGACAGCAACATCGGCTCCGAAGACGACTGGCAGGCGGGCGCGCATGCCTCGCATGAGGACGATCTCGACGAAGAAAAAACGGCACACACATAAACCTTTGGCTCTCCGCGCAGATTCTTGGATCGGCGCATGGGCCCCCCGACGGTGCCTCTGGCGCCGCCCCTGGCGCGCTCCGCGCGCCAGGGAGGGGGGTCCAGCGCAGATCCAAGAAATCCGCGCGGAGCGCCACACGTTTATGCTTATGCCGTTTACATGAGGAAGATCACCACCCACCAAACCGCCCCAGCCCATCCCGAAGGCCCTCCTTTCCCAGTGGGGGTGGCGTCGGGGAGCAGTGAGCAGACACGTGGAAGCTGTACCCCCCCCCCAACCCGAACCCGAAATCTGGGTCTTCGGGTCAGGTTGGGGTGTTTGGTAAATAGGCAGAAGTGGTACCGATCCCGCTACCCTTTCTTCTTCTTATTCGCTCTCCTGGGCCTCCTGGGAGGCCCTCGTCGTCACCGCTGGGTTCGCCCCGAGAATCTGGTCAGAGTGCGCCCCAGGAGAGGTCCGGGGAGTAGCGGTATCAGGTCCTCTTGATTTCCCCATCTCGTCTTTCCGTTGCCCCTCCTCATATTCCTCATATTCCCCGCTCTCCTCGTTCTCCCTCTCGTTTTACTCATCGCTTATTATCTCGCTCTAATCTTCGCTCTCTTCCCCTTCGTCCTTCTCCTCCTCCGCCCTCGCTCTCATACTACCTCCCTCCTCCTTCCTCCCTCCCTCCCTCGTCCCTCTCTCCGACCTTCTTCTCCTCGTCGTGCCCACGATGGGGTGAATCGCTTTTGTTGCTCCTCGGGCATCATTTTCGTTCGTACCGAGGAGGGGGGAGGGTCATCAGGAAGAGTAGGAGGATGGAGATGAAGATGGTTGGAAGGAGGAGGGGGCGGGAGGAGAGGAATGGGAGGAGGGTGGAGAGGGGAAGGAGGATGAGGAATATCGGGCGGACGAGGAGGGGGCTAGGAGGAGGTGAAGAACGAGGAGGAAGATGAGAGGATGAGGATCGAGAGAGGAGGTGAGGGAGGAGGAGAAGGAGGAGGAGGAGGCGGAAAATCGAGCAGGGGGATGGTCAGGATCAGTATGTGCGCGATGGCGGAGGAATTGGACCGCAGCCGCCGCCAATCGACCTCTCATGAGAGGTGATCCATCCCTAATCGACGTCTTTTCGACGTGGCTCCATTCGCCATATCATTGAAATCGATGTGCATCCACCTCGAATAGAATGTCAGACCAGATGGTTGCATACTGAATCGTATTGTATTGGAGGGGTGGACCCACCGCAAACGGACTCCCACTAAAATTAAGGATAAGGCCATCCAGCAGAACATCCAACTAAAGAAAGGAGCCACTTCTAATCGAACCCTCGTAAAAGTGAACCCACCTCGAACGGAACCCTGTTAAGGGTGGACTCCCGTGTATTACGAGTCCATTCAGCACGGATCCACCTTTACGGAAATCCCATTAGCAGCGGGTCCACCTCCAACATAATGTATTTACATATGCCACCGCCTTGAATGTAATTCTAGTAGGGCTGGATCCACCTCTATTTGACTCTAACTGGGAATGGAGCCACGACTTATACAATCCTCATAGTGCTTGGTCCACCTCTCATGATATTCGGTTGGATGTGGATGCGATCCATATCTCTAATGGGGACTGGTTGAAAACGGGGTCGCCTGCAATATAATCATCATAAGGATGGAGCCACTTCCATTCAATCTGTCAATCACACGACACCAAAAAGGCTCGATTGCATAAAGCCGCATACGGGATCTTTCTGTGTACTACAAACAATAGGAAGCAATGTGTAAGTCACCCCAACAACAATCATATAACACATCCGCCCATCAATGTGTGTGTGGATCCCACACACAAGAAACCACTTTGTAAACCGCGCTTTCCCAAATAGAATCCGATCAGGGAAGGAGCCAGTGGTAATGTAATCCTTCCCAGAATTGCATCAGGCTTGAAGCCGCGTGTAATATTATCAAATGAGGGATGGAGACACCGGTACTAAATTGCCATGGGGATGGACCCTACTGAATGGAACCCTATCGCCGGGGAATTCTTATCAGACAGAGTCCGATTAACGATGCAGCAGTCCGTAGTATAACCCCATTGGGAAGG